TCCCATGGGTTTATGTGCAGAGCCCTGCGCAGGTTTGGTCTCGGGGAAATGTTTTGTTCATATGTTGACATCATGTATAACGATATTTGCAGTTCAGTGCAGGTGAACGGCTGGAAAACTGACCCCTTCCCGGTCCTCTCCGGGGTCAGACAAGGCTGCCCTCTTTCACCTCTGCTTTTTGTTTGCTGTATAGAGCTCTTCGCCGAATGCATCAGACGGAATCCAGAGATCGGGGGAATCACCGCACCGGGACCAGACAGAAGGGAAGTGCTCGCTCTACATGGACGACGTGACTGTGTTCTGTGCCAACCAGCGCTCCATCGACCTGCTCGTCCAGACCTGCGAGGACTTCGGCCAAGCTTCGGGGGCAAAAGTCAACTGCGGGAAGTCGGAAGTCATGCTCTTCGGAAAGGGGTTCCTGCCTTCTTCTGCATCCATGCCCTTTGGCATCAAGACAGACTTCATGAAAATTCTGGGAGTTTGGTTTGGTGTCGAGGGCGCAGCCCTGAAGTCTTGGGAGGAGAGACTAGCAAAGATGAGACTGAAATTTGGACTTTGGAGCCTCAGAGACCTCACCATCGAAGGAAAGGACACTGGTACTCCGCAGCGAGATTCTCCCTGTGTTGCAGTACCTCGCCCAGGCCTGGCCCCCACGGGTCAACACCTGTAAGGCCATCACCAGGGCGGTGTTTCACTTCATCTGGGGCTCCAAGATGGACAGAGTGAAGCGGGCAGTCATGTTCAAGGAACCCCTCAAGGGCAGTAAGGGCGTGCACGACAACGCCACCCAACTGAGGGTGTTCTTTGCTTGCAACTGCATCCGCAGAACTTTGCCCAAAAGGATTATGGACTCTGGCGGGAACGCAATGTCACGCTTCTTCCTGTTGCCTCTCTGGAGGTCCCTCGGATGGGACAATTGGGACAGTTCCATCCCCTACAACTGGGACACTCCTTGGTACTACTTGGATACCTTCAAGTTAATCAGGGAGCAGGGGCTGCAGGGAGTCAAGCCTGACTTGTGGAAACCAAAGACCATTTACAAGCTCATCAGAGCAAGCGACATTTTGGAGTCGGTTCCAGGCCTGCCTTCAGACACCTGCAAGGTGGTCTGGAGGAATGTTTCTTCAAACATTCTCACCAACAGGCACAAAGACCTGGCATGGATGGCAATCCAAGGGGGGTTGCCTCTCAGGACATTTATGCATGCCAGGAACCTGAGCAGATACAGACACTGCCCCTTCTGCATCATCCATGAGGAAACGTCTCATCACGTTTTCTGGGAGTGCTCTTTTGCTCAGGCCCTGTTGGGGGCCCTGGAACCTGAACTCAAGGACTTTGTACCACAGACAGCCATCACTCACTTTGGGGTGTTGAATGGACTATTCTGTGGAACTTTTTCTCTGGAGGACATTGACGGCACCTGGCGGGTGCTGTGTTGTTTTAAGGACGCTTTATGGTGCGCCAGGAAGCGCCTCATCCACCAGAGGGAGAGGATGTCCATTGAGGACTGCCGCAGACTGATCCTCAGTCTGCTCAGAGACTATTCCTTGATGGACTTTAAGGAGGAAGAGGACGTCTGAAGATCTCCCCTTCCCCCTACTCCCCCTTGCGTGTCTTTGCCCCTTCAATAAAGCTACGGGCCTGTGTCCCCTCCTTTTTCCCCTTCCCCCCCCCACACACACCCGATGCTTATTGTAAAGTGTAACATTCGGTTTTTGATTTTGCATGACTTTTTGATTTTAGGAAATGTACTTTGTATTAGGATGCTATGGTTTCGGGGTAAGCGGCAGTATGCATGACGTGTTGGTCTGGGGATTCGTCCGCCACGCACAGCACGTCAGGCATCATACCGCCGAATGAATGTACTTATTTATTGTTTGAATGTATTATTCGTATTCTTGGAACTGTTTTGCAATGTGGTGCGCTGCGTCGCAGTATAGGGTGAGATGTACCCCGATAACGAGTATCATGTTGTTTTTTATACTTCTGTAATAAAAGTATCTTTTCAATCAAAAGTGTTGAGGGAGGTTTATTATAAGGTATGCTAAGTGGGATAGATGTCTGTATAGCGGAGATGCCACTACAAATTGCATCAATCTTGTTTTTGAAATGATTTGCAATCTCTTAAGCAGTGAGTGAGGTACTGGGTGGAGAAAGTAGAGAGTTAAGAGATGAGACCAGGAGGACTGGATGACAAGGTATTAATAAAAGTGACAAAGTAGGCTTGATTGGCAGCATGGAAGGAGGAATTGTATGTTAGGAAAGCAGATTTATATCAAGTGAAAGCTTGCTGAGATTTGGTTTTACGCCACAATCACTCCAGTGCACGACTATATCGCTTAAGATTTGGGGCATCGTCAGTCTGCCACGGTTGTAATGGTCGGGGCCTGATACTTCGTGTAGTTAGGGGAGCAAGTGAGTTTAATGCAGATGAAAGCTAACTGTTGTAGACAGCAGTGGCCAGATCAGGGCAGGACGGGGGGGAGATTCTTTCAGAGACGGTCAGATGCAGAATGGAAAAGAGAAGGGTTTCAGTTGTGAAGGTTTTGGTGGGTAATTGTTTCTGTTCAGAGGGATAGGTGTTTGATCACAATCTCATCACCTTCAGTGTCATCTTCAGAGAGAGGAAAGGGGTGTTTGTTTTCTCCAATCTTGGCACTCCCTACAACCTCACAAGGTCTAATGTATTCCCATGAGAGTCAATGGAGGACCGTGTCCATTGTGTTAAGGTAAAAGATGAGGTTAGGTTGAAGAGTTGGGATGTAGCCGGGTTGTTCACATTAATAGGGATTTTAAAATCTACAAGGTTGATAGTGGGTATTTCAGAGGGGAGAAAGGGTATCCAGGCAGAGAAGTCATCAAGAAAGTGTGACACCGGTCCAGGAGGCTGATAGACCACTGCAATCCTCAGAGAAATGGGAGAAAAAAAAGCTGAAAGCAGAGTCTGGAAAGAAAAGGATAGAGAGGAGGGTTAGGGAGGACTTGAAAAGGTGCTCAGTGGGGATAGAAGCAAACCCAACTCCACCTCCTTTCCTACCACTGGGTCTGGGTGAGTGAGACCAGAGAAGGCCTCCATAGGAAAGTGCTGCAGGAGAAACAGAATTTGCTGCTTGAAGTCAGTTTCTGTAATTGCTTGTAGGTTAAGGGAGTGGGAGACACAAAGGTCATGGACAGAAGTGAGCTTATTACAGACAGAGAGGGCATTCCAGAGTGCACATGGAAAAGGGAGGGTGGTTTTTAGGAGAATGGAGATTGAGATTAAATTGAGTGGATCACAGCTATTCCTGGAGGAAGGAGGGTGCCTGGTGTTGGGGGTGAGATACTGGAGGACTAGGGTTTGGGGAGATATCCCCAGAGGCTAGGAGAAGCATGGTGAAGAAAGTATCATGGGAGCAGGATGTATGAGTGCACATGCCTTCCTATCCTGGTGTTGGGTCAGCTGGTGAGTAAAGTAAAGCAGGAGATGAGAGCAGTAGTAGGGAGATGGTAGGAGGGTGTGATGTATAAATTAAGGTGGAGGAGAGGGATAAAGAAAGGAGATTTTGAGAGCAAATGATAGTAATATGAGTAGAGGGTGGCATATTAAAAAGGTACATGGAGTGGGAATCAGACTTGTAAACGATTCTCAGGGTGTTTGCCCGCACTCCATCCAGCGTGCAGTAGAGTTCTTCCTGCTGCTTGAGTTATCCTGCTGTGTTCAACTACTTCACACTCCAGAGAAAATGCCCTCACAGGACAGAGCCATCTGTGACGTCCCCCATAAACTGGTCTACATTTATAGGGAGATGATCAAATGTGCAACTCTTCTCCACCCTGATTAGGAATTAAGGATCACATTTGGGGGGGGGGGGGGGGGGGTTTTTATCTAAACCAGACAGGACAAAGCCATAAACCATGATTGATTCTCTGATCACAGAAAGGCCCAAAGGAGGTGAGAATCAACCACCACAAACAGACTAATTATCCTGAGATTTGCAGAACGTCGAAGCATTGCAGGGAGACAGCTTCAGGTGTAGATGAGACAGCAGCATTTATCCCAACCTACTAGCTGCTGGTAACAGAACCACCCATGACGTCATTGATAAGGACATGGGGCCCCTGCACAGCATCCTTGCCTGCCCCTGTCAGCAGTGAGGTCACATTAGCCGAGACCGAAACCCGGCAACTGAGGGAGAAAATAAACTATTTGCTTTGGAAGAATAAAAAGAAAGTCCCAAGTCCCCTCCCCCATCGGGCGCCCCCAATGTACAGACGGCGCTGCGTTGTGTAAACCGGTTAGTTCCTTACATGTTGTAATGGGCGCCTCCAGATTGCGCTGAATTGTAAAAGGCGCCGTGAGGGGGAAAGGCGGAGAAGTCCCGGTACAGAGCTCTGTGTGGGGGGAGGTTGTGGCTCTGAGAAGAGCCGTTGGTTGGCGGGTTGTGTGGAATGTCTGTTGCGGGGGGTCTAGGCCCTCTCTCTCCGCGGATGCGGCGTGCCAGCTGGATGTCTTTGGGCATGATGGTGACCCTCTTGGCGTGGATGGCGCAGAGGTTGGTGTCCTCGAAGAGTCCGACGAGATAAGCCTCTGCGGCCTCCTGCAGAGCCATGACGGCGGAGCTCTGGAAGCGCAGGTCGGTCTTGAAGTCCTGGGCGATCTCTCGGACGAGGCGCTGGAAAGGGCAGCTTGCGGATGAGCAGCTCGGTGGATTTCTGGTAGCGGCGGATCTCTCGGAGAGCCACGGTGCCGGGCCTGTAGCGGTGAGGCTTCTTCACTCCGCCGGTGGCCGGGGCGCTCTTGCGGGCGGCTTTGGTGGCCAGCTGCTTGCGGGGAGCTTTCCCTCCGGTGGACTTACGGGCGGTTTGCTTGGTACGAGCCATCTCTACTCCTCTCTTGCCGGGAACTGCGAATAAAATGCGCCTTCTCTCTGCTCAGCGATTTATACACATCTCTTCCCTCTGATTGGAGAACTACGCCACGCCCCTTATAATGATTGGGTTACATAAAAAGAGCGGGATTTTCAAAATACCCTCCAGGATCTGCACGTTATCTGTGTAGGTAGAGAAGCCCGCTGTGTCAGGGGTGGGGGAGGGGAGTTCCTCCACATCATACAATGCTCGGAGCTCTCCTTACTACCAAAGAAGAGAAGATTAATCAGAGATCTGCTAATAATCAGAGATCAGAGACTCCCTGTACAATGTAACAATTACATCCATTGACATCGGACTGGATTCCTCCATAATACAGTGAATGGGATGACAGAAGATCCTCCTCCGATCTCACGGATCCGATGATTCCTCTGTTCGGGACTAAGAAGCAGAACGTTTGTCGCCCATCTCGGTCCATCCAGCACAATTGTGGACTAACAGGGACAGTCAGAAGGGCTGCAATGTATTGTCTATAGAAGAGCGAGATGACAAGAGACATGACTTGTGTGCGGATCTGGGAGGAGATACAATGTGATTTCTGGCTTTTCTCTCCGAATCCCACTTCCAAGGACAATCAGATCCGGCGAGGACAGTGTGGACTTTGATGGCACAATGACAATCTATCGCTGAGGATGGGAGGGAGGCGGACATCTAGTCTGCAGCAATTCATCCCATTCATTTTACATTTACGAGTTTATTTGTAACAAACATTTTATGTGTCTATTTTCAGAATGTTTTTTTTTTTTTAAATTCCCGCCAAGATCTGCGTTATCTCTGTTAGCAGAATATCCCGATCTCTCTGGGAGCTCCTTACTGCCAGATGGGAAAACATTGATAAGAAAGATGTTTATTAGAGATGAGCGAAGAAATGAAAAATTCGATTTGACTGATTCGGCGAATTCGTGGACAATATTCGATTTGAGTCGAATAAATTCGCTGTGAATTTAACTTAAAAAAGGGTTGTTTCTAGGCTTCAGAGAAGACTTAATATTAGTGCAGAACACAGTACCTTTAATTTAAAATGCCCTTGGAGTCTGCTGGGGAAGAGAAATAATACTGTCACTCAGTATGACATGCAGATGAGTGCCGTCGATCTTAGAATCACTGCACACTTCACTCATTTTGGCCAGTCACGGGGCCAAAACCAGTGTTTGGAGCCACAGTGTGGCGCTGGAGGCAGCAGCAATGGGAGGCCATACAGCAACCTATGACAAAATGGAAACCAGCAGGAGTGTGAGGAGACCCTGAAAGTGGCACATGGCAAAGTGGGAGCAATGGGAGGCGGTTCAGGGACCCAGGTCACACTGTGGGCCCAGCAGCAGCGTGACCAGGCGGGTACGGGGGCCCATGGCAGATTTGGGGCCTGGCAGCACCTATGGGAGGCCTGTAACCTGCCAGCAACCTATGACAAAATGGAAAACCGCAGGAGTGTGAGGAGACCTCAAAGTGGCACATGGCAGAGTGGGAGCAATGGGAGGCGGTACAGGGACCCAGGTCACACTGTGGGACCAGCATCAGCGTGAACAGGCGGTACGGGGGCCCATGGACCGATTTGACCTCGTTCATCCCATAGTCCTGCCGACTCACGAATAGCGTGGCCTCCTCAAAGGGGCCCTGAGCAAGCGCAGGTGTCACGCATGAGCTGACAATGGCTGACATCTAAGTTACACAGGGGTTTAGTTACCTTTATCCGCTTTTTAACATCAGGAAATCTGTGATGGCCTTTCGCTGTTCGTAAAGGCGGTCTAACATATGTAGGGTTGAATTACACCTTGTTGCAACGTCACAGCATGAGGAGTCGGTACGGGGTCCCATGGCAGATTACGTGCCTGGCAGCAGCAATGGGAGGCCCGTAATCTGCCAGCACCCTATGTCAAAAAATTGAACACACCAGCAGTGTGAGGAGACCTCAAAGTGGCACATGGCAGAGGCAATGGGAGCAATGGGAGGCGGTAGTACAGGGACCCAGGTCACACTGTGGGCTCAGGCAGCAGTGACCAGGCGGTACGGGGGCCCATGGCCGATTTGGGGCCTGGTGGCACCTATGGAAGGCCTGTAATCTGCCAGCAACCTATGACAAAATGGACAACCGCAGGAGTGTGAGATTTCAAAGTGGCACATGGCAGAGTGGAAGGCAATGGGAGGCCGTACAGGGACCCAGTTCACACTGTGGGCTCAGCAGCAGCGTGACCAGGCGGGGTACGGGGGCCCATGGGCGATTTGGGGGCCTGGCGGCACCTATGGGAGGCCTGTAATCTGCCAGCACCCTCTGACAAAATGGAACCCTGGGCTGGGGCAGGCAGAAACCGCCGTATCTTTATCACGATTTTCCCCAGGCCACCGAATGGCGACGCTGCATATGCTGACGCAACGCTGTAGTCCCAACATGGGCCCCCTGGCCACGCTTGACTTTCTGGCCACATAGTCGACATTACGGCTACGTTTACTTCCTCGGGCGGCTTGACGAAAAATTGCCACACCGCAGAGTAGGAAACTTTGCCTCCGCTACTCCTCACTGGTCTGACTGCTACTTCCTCCGTGCACACCGGCACCACTACTGGCCGTGGTGGTAGGCTGCAGTGGAGCTGGTGCTCTACTCCGTGGCCGTTTGCCTCCACTGACACTGCTGCGACCCTGCTGCCTCCTGGCAGCAGCAATGGGAGGCCGTACAGGGACCCATGAGAGGACTCTGGACTTGGCAGCAGCATGAGGAGGCGGTATATAGGGGCCCATGGCAGATTAGGGGCCTGGCAGCAGCTATGGGGGCCCGTAATCTACCAGCACCCTATGTCAAAAAATTGAAAACACAAGCAGTGTGAAGAGACCTGAATGTGGCACATGGCAGAGTGTGGCGATGGAGACAGCAGCAATGGGAGGCCTTACAGGGACCCATGAGAGACTCTGGACCTGGCAGCAGCATGAGGAGGCGGTATATATAGGGGCCTGTGGCAGATTAGGGGCCTGGCAGCAGCTATAGGAGGCCCGTAATCTGCCAGCACCCTATGTCAAAAAATTCAAACACACCAGCAGTGTGAGGAGACCTGAAAGTGGCACATGGCAGAGTGTGGCGATGGAGACAGCAGCAATGGGAGGCCGTACAGGGGGGGACCCATGAGATACTCTGGACTTGGCAGCAGCATGAGGAGGTGGTATATAGGGGCCCATGGCAGATTAGGGGCCTGGCAGCAGCTATGGGAGGCCCGTAATCTGCCAGCACCCTATGTCAAAAAATTCAACACCACCAGCAGTGTGTGAGGAGACCTGAAAGTGGCACATGGCAGAGTGTGGCTAATGGAGACGATGGAGACGAGTACAGCAATGGAGACCGTACAGGGACCCCTGAGAGACTCGTAATCTGGACTATGTCAACACACTGTACCCCCCCAAGGAACACGGCAGGTGCAGCAGCATGAGGAGGCGGTGGGATACAGGGAACCCCTGGAGACCCATGGCAGATATAGGGGCCTGGATTAGGGGCAGCAGCTATAGGAGGCCCGTAATCTGCCAGCACCCTATGTCAAAAAATTCAACACACCAGCAGTGTGTGAGGAGACCTGAAAGTGGCACATGGCAGAGTGTGTGGCGATGGAGACAGCAGCAATGGGAGGCCGTACAGGGACCCATGAGAGACTCTGGACTTGGCAGCAGCATGAGGAGGAGGTATATAGGGGCCCATGGCAGATTAGGGGCCTGGCAGCAGCTATAGGAGGCCCATAATCTGCCAGCACCCTATGTCAAAAAAATTCAACACACCAGCAGTGTGTGTGAGGAGACCTCAAAGTGGCACATGTTTGAGGCATGATTCATGGCGGATTTAGTCAGTTGTGTCAGGAACTGGTGGTTTGAAATCCAGACTAATCCACGGCCTGATTCATTTTCACAAAACGTGAGTCTCTCCACACTTTGGGTGTGGACAGTCGTGTCCTCGACTGCGCGGAGTTACAATACCTCCTGCCGCACTAAAACAAACGCGCTCCGATGCCACGCTACTGGGCCGGGCATGACAGCCTTTCAAGGGGCAAATTCAGCTAGTTGGGGCCAAAGGTCAAGTTTTGTTGCCCAGTAGTCAAGGGGATTGTGTCTACCTCGGTTGGCAGGGTGCTGTCCAAGTAGGCCCAAGCCTGTTGTTTGAGGTCCTGCTCCAGGTCCACCTGATGCTGCTGCTGCTGCAGCTGGTTTTAGTAGTTTCCTCACTGCGCTGGTGAAGAAAGCTACTCATCATCGACTGCAGACTGAGTCAGCCGCTGCTGGTGGAGCTGCCACTGCTCCTACCACCCCACCCCCTCCTTTGCTGCCATGGCAGCGGAACGGTTAGAGGGCACAGGGCCCACAGTGTCTGAGGATGGACGTTGGCGCCACCAAAGGCAGAGACCAACTGACTACATAGGTGGTTTTTATAGTACGTTATTTTGGCCTCCCTCTCAGCAGGTGTGAAAAAAGGCCACCATTTTTGAACGGTAGCGAGGGTCCAACAAGGTGGGACAGAGCCAAAAATCATCCCTCTGTCTGATGGTTCTATATTCGGCTGTCGCTACGCAAAGCAACCGAGCATGCTATGGGCCATTTGTGCCAAGGAATGCGAGGGACTCCCTGACTCCATCTCCACAGCATACTGCCACGGTGCGTCTGGGTCCTCTGTCTCCTCCTCCTCTACCAGATGCTCCTGCTCCTCCACTCCTGTCCGCTGAGTGGAAAAACCACCCATTTCACTCAATAATTCCTGAGCACCAATGTCCTCCTCTACCTCCTCCTCTTCTTTATGTCCTGCCCCCACAGGGGTCATGTGGCGTTGAGATCTGTGCGCCACGTCTACCGCACCCTGACCAGCCATTGTTAACAGCATTTGTTCAAGGACGTGCAACAGAGGAATGACGTCGTTCATCCCATAGTCCTGCCGACTCACGAATAGCGTGGCCTCCTCAAAGGGCCTGAGCAAGCGGCAGGTGTCACGC